TAGGTGGGCAGCTCTTCAAAGCAAAATAACAAGTTTGCTTTGCTCTTTTTCCTCTCTCTTTCGCTGAGGGACTCAGCGTCGCCGCCTGGCGGCAGGAGAAACAGGCATTCAGATTTTCCCCCTAATATACACACCAAAGATACAAAATCCCATCTTTTCCCCCATCGATGCATGCCTGGAAGGGTCTGTCTTAGTTTCTCACGTGAGCTTCAGTGTTAAATGTGCCACAATCTAGGTGACACTTTTAAGAGGTGAAAAACATTGATGATTAACTGCAAATTGTGCTTGAATCGTCATGGGGGGGGGTAAGACGTTGGATCTACTGAATATGTTCAGTGTTATTTTCACAGAAGTATGTTTGATCTACTACCCTGGCTGTGCACAGAATAAAGCCCTGAAGTCGACACACAGTTTTATGTATGTCACATAAAGGTTCTTAGTGCAGGATCCTAGGCTTAGTCTAATTTTGCTCTCTTTCAAGATGTTCCGAGGCGCTTTTTATATATATATGTGTCTTCCAGGTTTCAGTGGGCGTCCTTTCTGCTGCTCTGTTATCATTATGTCTTGCCTTGATGTGACGCTGAAGACAAATGACAGCATTGTCAGGTTGTCTTTAATTCATTTGAAGATGGGCTGGAGGGGGGAAGAGAATACACACCAGGATTTCTACAGCGTTCAGAACTAAAATGGATTTACCTTTTTCATGGGGCGGAGGGGGCAGCTGATGAACTTAAGACAGGAAGAAAGTCTCTGTGAATTGCTGTTTGTTTCAGTTAAAAAAAACACCCCATCATAGGCACCACCCGGAAATAGGACCCCCTCCCCCAGCACCTGAGCGGTTTGTTGGAAACGCCCAGTATTGATGAGCTCTCTTTTAATTTGTGTTTAAAGCCCAAAACTCACTCTGCTGCTAAAGCCATCGGTGATCGAGAGCGAGTCAAACGAAGAAAGGGTTCGTCTCCCTTCCCCCGACACCTTCCCATTTCATCGCAAGAGCCTTTAAAAAAGGGTGAGGGACCCTGAGCCATCTGGCCTGAACGTTGTGCTCAGAGGGATGCTCAGCACAAATTAACTCCCCCCGCCCCATCCATGTGCAGTAATGTTGGAGGGATATTTACGGTCAGCATTCGAAGTTACACAAAGAACAAAACCGTGTGCGTGTCAATTTCAACGTTAGAAATGTTTACAATGATCCGCAATTCTCCAGGCAAGTTAGAAATCTTTACAATTAAAAAAAAAAACACCCCCAAGTTTTGATGCTGATGGCCTCACTATTTTTCTAACTTGGACACAAAATAAAGGCGTGACTCCGACTAAACGAAGGGCACTTTCATGGCCACCTGTAATAGATGCTTTTCTCTCAGGCTTTCGGAAGTTAAAGGGCAGAATTGAATTCAATAGTTTCTTCAGGAGAGGAGGGGGCGTCCTTTTCCCTGAGCCCTCAACGTTGGACTTTTCAGGTACTACCTGGCTGATTTTCTCCGTTGACTCTTTACTCAAAGCCAGAACGGGGGCTCGAGTCAGATCTAGCATCGCACTACGTGGGTCTTTGTAAGCAGCATTAAAAGTATTTAACAGGGATAGTTAATATAGCTCCCCCCAGAAAATGCGATCACCTATCGCGAAAAGGAAAGTCCAGTCGTTATAGCTTAGATCCTTACTAAGGGCGGCCAAGCAAGCTGGGACAGGATTTGGAGGGTATTGCAGAGATATGCTCGCGGCTGTACGCGCTCATATAAGTGTCAATAGAGTCTACCTTCTCCTTTGCTCACGGGGACTTGTGCTGTTCGGTTGTTTCAGCAAGCCGGCTTAATGACACAGCTCAAATAAATGCAGCCCTCCTTTTCCCACCCAGCCTTGTTATCGGAAGGGTTGTGTTGAAGTGACACGCCGCGTAACCCTTCAGGAGTGGAAGGGAATTCATCCATTTGAATTTTGGGTCGTCACTGGCACGCAGCAGCCCACCAGAGGCGATTTACATACTGCGCGGGTGTCTATGGAATGTTCCGAACAGATGTGCTAGGAAGGCCAACCGGATTAATTTAAATTAATGTATGGCTGACTCTGGTCAGATTGATCTGAGGTGGGGCTTTTGATGAGTTTTGCCCTTCTGTTGCTTGTCCTCTCGAGCTGGTTTTCCACGGTGAAATTATTTTAGTTCGGCGGCATGGACCAGCGGCTGCTGTCAACTCCCCACCCCATTGGGGGGGGGGGGGAACCAAACGCAACCCTTTTACCTAAATAGATTAATGCCCCTAAGTCGGTGTCTATTAGAAAACGCACATTTCCCTGCTTATCATCAAAATCCTAGGCGACACTTGCCAGATCAAAGATCTAAAACCTCCTTCCCATCCTCCTGGAAATAAAATAAGCGATGTAAATTTTCAATAATACTAAGCAGAGGATCCAAGTAAAATGGTGATAAATAAAACAATGGGAAAGATTCATTGCAATTAATACTTGACATCTACCATCCTTCACCTTTAGGCGCCGTTGAAACTTTCACAGAACAGAAATCCACCAAAAAAATAAATAAAATAAAAGTAACGTTTGTAACTAACAGGCATTTTAAAAATAGCACTAGACACACCCGTTTATAGATTTTAGATCGATCATTTAAGAGAGCCATGTGGCAGAGATGGTTGTGAGGGAGGCAAATGAAAAGTAGCTGCAGAGAAAGAAAAGAGCAGTTTAGAGGGGAAAAAAATCCTGGTGAATCTGCAATAAATTTAGTCCAAATCCAGATAGGAGCCTGAAATATGTATTTTTCTCCAGATTAGGTGGTGGCTAAAAATAAAGCCGTGGCTAAACTACCCTGCTAGGATTTTAAAAAGTCAAATTATTTTTCTCTTTTGTGTGATTCCAACTCGGTGTTAGCATCCTGCAACCCACCGCGCGTCCCTTCCCCTGAGTGTTAGCTGCTCCTGTGTCAATTTCATCGTACAGAATTAGGCTGTGAAGTTACTTCGTGTAATTAAGGTACGCAGCCCTGCCCCCCTCATTTCACAAGAGAGAGCTCCTTGGAAACCCCCCCAGCAGAACGAGTTGGCATAACCCCGTTTTCACTAAAGCACCAGGCGTTTCTAGCGCCTAATTCGCATTGACGCCTGGAAAGAACCAGACACCGGCTCAGAGCCGCGCGCCTTGGCGTTTCTCTCGCTAGATCGTGTCTCTCTAGCACAGACGCGTCCCCAAACCTCCCTAGTACGAGGCCAGCAAGGAAGGCTGGACGAACGCAGAGACTTCATTAGCTGGCTTCTTTTCTCCCCTTTGCACACTCACTCTAACTTCTCCTAATTATCTCGAGTAAATGCAGCGAGCTAATTAGCAGCTGAGCACCGCGGGAAACTTTGAGCAGTAATTATAGTGCGGGGGGACTATAAGAAGAGGGGGAAAAATAAGTAATTTGTCAAGGTACAGTCGCCACTTGTAACTTTTTCCTTCTTCTCGTGCGTTCGGTTCAAGCGAGGGGAAGAGGGACACACACACACACACACACACACACAGTGGCGTGTGTGGAGCTGGCGAAGGAAGAGGAGCCCCTGTAAATTCGTTAAGTGCTCTGTTTGCAAGTGTTAGCTCCCTTGTCCTGGAGTTACCAGCGCAAAACTGTGTCCCAGTTCTTAACTGCACTTCTTAACGGGTGCTTAAGAAAAGAACGACCAGGCAAACTCACAGCAGCCCATGGAAAGCTTAGAGCGTCGGGGGCATTTTCTCCTGTTCAGTTCAAATTAACTTCGAGCAGGTTTGTCCTACCTTGAAGTAGAGCGTCGGGGGGGATTTTCTCCTATTCAGTTCAAATTAACTTCGAGCAGGTTTGTCCTACCTTGAAAGGCTTGGTTTCGTCTTAAAAAAAAGAGAGCGAGAGAAGACCCTGGAAGGAGCTGGTTAGTTGTTTTAACCAGCCACTCGTTTGCCCCGCGAAATTTCTACAATACCGCCATTGAAACCTGCTGATTTTTGCATGTCGTGATGGGGGGGGGAGTTCTTTCTCTCGCTGTAATTGACAAGCTTTTCAAATCAAGTCTATTTTCCATCTCAAACCCTCCTCCTCCTTCCCCAAAAAAGAGTGTCTTAGACACTGGCTTTCCCCATTCACGTCAGCAGTAGTTCAACTGGTTTCTTAAAACACCCAGGAAAACCAGACTCAACCAGTTTTAGTTCTCTAGTTTCATTCCTGCACAGCTGATCGTAGGGACGAATACAACATGTACCGGGTTTTTGTTTTTTTTAAAGAGAGAGCCCGGGGGTTATAATAAAACTGGGGTTTTAAAAATTTTAATTAAAATTGAATAAACGCCTCAGGAGAAATTAGTCTCCCATCTAGCCCGTTGTGCTTGTAACAGACTCAAAGCGGACTGTTTACAAAAAAAAGTAAAAGCTTTTAATACATCAAATATACGGAATTTTAATCTTTAAAGCGATACATTGTCTATTATTTTAGTACATGACGTAAACCTTTCCCCCTTTTACAGGGTGGACTTAAAAATTAAAAATAGTTAAGTGTTCCTTTTAAAGAACAAAATAAGGCAAATGAGGTTTTTGGAATAGAATTGTTTTTTTTGTGGGGGTTTTTTCCTTCTTCCAGATTACATACAAAAAAATACCAATTCTCTTTCAATTGTATACACCGTAAAAATAATTGCAATTTGAAGTTATAATTGACAAATTGCGAGTTGTTGTTTTTTTAGTAACAAACATGCATGTAGGTTTTTTTTTTTTCGTTTCAAGGAGACATTAAATAAGAACGTACAATACAATCATAGCAATTTTAAAGTAACATTAAAGAAGACCTCTATTTCTTTTTTTTTATTTATATTCTACAATGGGTGTTCAACTTTTTTTTTTGTTACCTATTGAGCTCAGTTAAGTAATGCACTTTATGATTCATTGTCCCGCTTGAAGCTAACATAAATAAATACAGTGCTCACGGATCCAGTCCTCAAATGAACACTAGTTTTATAAAAAGTCAGATTTTAGCTTG